GAACACTTAAATATAAAAGAGTCAATTATAGAGTGCCAAGTGTCACCTTGTCTCCTAAGAGATAAATAAGAGACACTTAGATTTAGAAGAGCCAATCATAGAGTGCCAATTTTCACCTTGTCCCCTTGGTAAGCCAAGTGATAAGGTGTGTTGGAGAAGCTAAAGCAAACGCGACCAAGGAGAAGGGAGGGGCGGCCAAGGTTGGTTTCCTTCACTTAATCCAATCCAAAAAAATTGGGAATTGGTTTAGTTAGGTTCACCAAATGATGGTGAGACCTAGCTGAATCAATTCCTTGGATTAAATGGAGAAAAATAAGCCTAATTTGTAAAATTTGGCCTAGGCCCACTAAAAGCCCAATTTCTAGCTTCACCTACACAATTGCTATTTGCTACCCCACTACTAAAACTAAAAATATGAAAATCTATGACCTTTAATACAAGGTTAAATAAAGTAAAAGTCTCCAAGTAACATATCCTAAAATATAAGGGTATGACCTATAAATAAAAAATAAAGGTGTCTTACAAATACAAAGACAAAAATAAGCCTATACATATATCTACTACGTATAAGGGGAAAAAAACTCAAACTATACTAGATATATATACAACAAAGATTATGAGACTAAATAGAGGAATCATACCCATTGCTCGTATAAAGCATAAGTCTAAGAATCATCGCTTCTATAGAAGCCTCCCCAAGCCTTCTAACCATGGACCTGGTTAAAAGTCCAATGGTCTTTGTGTGTGAACTTCGCCTAGGTGTAGATGCAAAAGGAGATGCAAAAATGGAAAAGTCCATAACAAACCTCCTATAAAAGCTTGCTAAGCCGTGAAAGCTCCTAATGTCTTCTACACTCTTTGGGGTGGGCCAATCTTGGATAGCCTTAACCTTTTTAGGATCAACCTTAACTCCTTCTTTACCAACTATAAATCCCAAAAGGTTTACACTTTCATGGCAAAAAGTACATTTTTCTAAGTTGGCATAGAGATAGTTGTTCTTAATAATGATTAAAACTTTCTCAAGATGGTCTATATGTTCATTAAGGCTCTTACTATAAATAAGGATATCATCAAAATGTACAACTACAAACCTACCTATACAATCCCTAAGAAAATGGTTCATTAATCTCATGAAAGTGGTAGGAGCATTGTTCAAGCCAAAAAGTATGACTAACCATTCATATGATTCAAACTTGGTCTTAAAAATGGTTTGCCATTCATCTTCTTCTTTGATTCATATTTGGTGGTAACCACTTTTAAGATCAATCTTAATATGAGTGCTCCATGTAATTCATCTAACATATCATCTAACCTATGGATTAAATGTTTATACTTTATAATTATATTATTAATGGCTCTACAATCTATGCACCTTCTCTAAGTACCATCTTTCTTGGGAACTAGGAGAACAAGTATAGCATAAGAGCTAAGGCTCTTTTGAACCTAACCCTTTTTCATCAAGTTTTCAACTTGAACCTCAATTTCTTTTGTTTATTGAGGTTTGGTCCTATGGGCAGGCCTATTAGGAAGGCTAGCCTATGGCACCAAGTCAATTTGATGTTCTATTCCTTTTAATGGTGGAAGTCCACTTGGAACTTCTTGAGGAAATAGGTAATCAAATTCTTGTAAAAGATTTTGAACCCCATTAGGAAAAGACTTAAGTTCAAAACTTTTGGTAACAATTGTCTCTTTAGAATTGAGAAGGTAAAAAGGTTGTTCAACTAGAAGACATTGTTTGATAGAATGTTTAATGGAAAATTGACTTCTAAGAACAACTCCCTTGGAGGAGACACCACCCTCCAAATTTAAGATCTTTTCTTCCTCCTTTTTAGGACTTACAAGGTTTTTTTCTCTTTAAAATAATTGATTATCTAGTTCTGAAAATGTTATAAATAGTTTTCACACCTTGAAACTTCAGAGCAGAGAATGAGTTAACAATCAAAAGGAGAAAAACGTTATTGTGAAGTTTTTGTGACCTTCTTGGAGTGTTTTCTTTGTGAAACCAAGAAGTAAAACGTTTTTGAAATGCTTGAAAAAGATCATCATCATCATCACATTCTTGAAAGAGAAAGATTGAGATTTGCTTCTGAATTCACAGTCTGATTTGTTCAGCTTCCAGGTGAATTCGTTCCTTTAATTCTTTGTGAATAATTGTAAATCTTGAGTAGGTGTGTCAAGTGGTAAGGAATTCTTGTAGTGGGTTTCTACAAGAGGTGCTTTCTTGGGGTCAAGAAAGTGGTTATCTTGAATGTAGGAGTATATGCATGTGTGGTATGCTTGTAAAAATTCTTCATTGAGATAGTGGAACAAATTTTGATCAGGTTATGATTGAGGACTAGATGTAGGTCACATGTGAAGTGGTTGAACCAGGATAAAAGACTTGTGCATTCTTCTCTTACTCTTATCTTTTACTTTGAGTAATATCTTGGGTGTGTGTTAAAGGGAATAATCTTGATTAACATGTTTGTATGCACAACATTGCTTTAAACTGAATCAAAGAGTTGCATATTGATTGTTCTTAACTTTGAACTTTATCAAAAATTAATCAAGAAAGCATATAGGACTCATTTTCACTAGCAAGTCTTTTAAGGAACTTCTTTGAAAATTCATATTAGAAAAGGTTGAATTGAAATAAAGATCCTAAAAACTCTGAAAATTTTTAAAGTGTCATAGAATTCAATTCACCCTCCCTTTTTAGATTGAGCCATTCTTTTCTAACAAATACTCCATAAATATAAATAAAATTATCGGATATTAATGTTTGATGGGCCTTGTGTGATTAATATCATTTGCCAATGCCCAAAAACATCAATGCAAACTTTGAGGCGACCCACAGTTACGATATAAACAAAATCCATTAATATTGTGATTTGCAATAATACCCTACCCATCTTAAGACCTTTTTATTTTACCCATTTTCTGTTTTTATTTTCTAAAAAAATATAAAATGAGGTTGAAAATATGTTTAGTTTCAAATTTAAGTTGGCCCATTTAAGATTGTCACTTTGTCCTTATGCGACAATGATAAAATGGGGATTTAAAAATATAAACACAATGATAATAAAAGCAGGCCAATTCTTCTCATAATATCCCCCATCCATTGCCCGTTACTCACTGCATTTCTACATCATTGCTTGCCAACATTATGCTCTACATCATGATTTTAGAAACCCATGTTTTGTGTGTGCGTTTTGTATAATTAATAAGTATATAAAAGAAAAATGTACCCACTTAAGACTTTGCCTAATTTTGAAATTAGAATCCAAAATATGGATTGAATCGAGTTTCTCACATGCTCTACATCATGAATTTTGAAACTCATGTTATAATGTTAGATTGTATATCTTCTTACTTCACATTGTCTTCTGTGTGGACACTCGCAATTTCTCTTTTCTTGCTTAGCACAAAGATATCTTCAACAAATAATGAAAATTAATTAATTTCTTTTAGAAATATTTAAATGAGTTTTTTTTTAATGATATGCTTAATAGACTCAACTATATATTATCAATATCAGTTATACAGAACTTTGTACATAAACACTCGTGAATCTAACGCATGAATTACGTTGGCACTTAGCATATCTAAGTTTAATGATTTACGAGGTTTTATAAATATTTTTCTCTCATTTTACCCTCCTTTTCTTTCTTTTTTTCTATTTCTTATTAGACGTATCACTTTTTTCTTTTCATATTTTTCTCTCCCAAACTCTATTTTCTTTACCAAAAAAATACACGTCAAAATAAGGGGGAGATTTCTGCTTTTTCATGGTTCAAAAAATAATAAAACAGGCTTGTTATTAATTTTTTTTATGAATCAAAGTAAAACACTTGTAGAATATCAACACTGCATGTATAAGTGTTAGCGACTTTAAAAACAAATATTAATGACTTACATCTCTTAATTGTAGTTATGAAAATTGGGCGGAATCAATTTGTTGGATTGATTCGATCAGAAATTGATCCTTAGCCAATTCGATTTGTCTCAATTCGTTGGATTGATTCGACTAAAAATTGATCTTTAACCAATTTAATTTGTCTAAAAAAACTATTTTGTATTGAATCAGTAAAACTGGTCAACAACCATTAAAAAACATAGGTTAAATTGGTGTGAAGTGGTCCAATTAATTTTTTTAAAATTTAATTTAAAATATTTTATTAAAAATAAGATTTAATAAAAAATTATAAACTAAAATAATTTATTTTAAATATTTGTCTCATAAATATAATTTAATAATTAATATTAATTTATAGTTTTTAATATCTTTATTTTTTGTAGTTTATATGATATTAATTTAATATTTTTTATCTAGATGTAAATTTAGTATTAGTAGTGAAATTTTTTTTATTTTACTAAAATTTGAACATAAATACTATATTATATATAATTTA